TTTTTTTTTTATGAGGCCTTTTTCCGTAGAGCTTAGATTTTCAGTCAGGCTCCCTGTTCCTCCCTGAATTGTATTTAATCTTGAAATAGGTATCTGATTTGGGCATGGATCGAAAGACCATGGCATGAGCTTGGGCATAAAATTGAAATTGAAGTGGTGTGTAGGCCAGTAAGATTTAGTGGGCAGTTTGGGCAGAGGGGGATTTGGGAGTGGAATGCAATTTACATTAATTGTAACACCCTTTGAGTCTTGTTCTGCTGGGTCCAAATTTCGAAGAGAATTTCACGGATAACTGCCTCCTCCCCTCTTCCACCTCTTTCAGAAAGAGTGTTAGGCCTCTCTATTGCCAACCGTTGTAAACCAGCCCTACAAGACCAGCCTTCATCGCAACAGTAGAACAGTTTTCCATGTTAGGGAAATTTTACAAGGCTTTGCAAAGAGGGCTACAAGCTTGAGTTACCTACGAATCATCAGCATGATTGAATTGTTTAAAGCAGAATGAGTTGATCTTGTCATCATTATATCAAAGTCTTTAGTTTGCCCGACGTTTGTCACGAATAAGTATAATTTTTGGGTTGTTCCTTATGTGGAGTAGAGTTAAGTCGAGTGAGTAGCTAGTATATTATATATACCATTGTTATGCTCATTGATTGACGAGAATAGGAACATTACTGCAAGGTCAAAGTGCTTCGTTTGAAGTGAGATAAATCATTCATGAAAAACTTCTAGTCTTACATACGGATAGCTTCAATGGGTAGTTACTTAATTATGTGGAATTTACTTATTTATTTGTTTATTTATTAGTGGATGATTGACGTGATGAAACTATTACATCCAATATCTTGTCCTTTTGATAAAACATTTTTGGGTTGTTTAATTGAAAGGTGCATTCCTTTGTGCTATAACATTTGATTTTGACATTTCTTGAAGACACTATCAAAATCATGTGTTGTAATAAACCCTAAGCCATATTTATTTGGGTAAAATTCATAATTGGGCATTGAACTTTGTTTTCGGCCTTAATTTGATTCTTGAACTTTCACTTGTTTCAATTTAATCCCTCAACTATGAATTCGTTTCACTTAAGTCCTTCTATCTAATTTTAACGTTAGATCATATGACCACTACCTCATTAACATTTCTGTTTTTTACCACATATATAACTTGACAATTACATTTTGACCACACTTGTTTTGGGTATACACCAATCACATAATACACTGATACATTCCTACACTTAATTCTATGAGTAATGTCNAATCACATAATACACTGATACATTCCTACACTTAATTCTATGAGTAATGTCATCTTTCATTAATCCCTCTACCCGAATAGTTGAACTCAAATGTCGAAAGCGTTCACTAAAAAGATTGTTTGATTTATATTTTTATTGAAGTTGCATTCTATATATTCGATTTTATATTTACTTACATTGAATTATTTTAATTTTAAAATTTCTCTTAAAAAATCTAATTTATTGTTAATATGAATTTTGATTTCTTATATTATTTTATATCATGAGCAAATAAAATAAACCCCAAAATCTTTTATGGTTGTGTCTAGTTAATTGCCAATAATCAAAAAATAAATAAAATAAAATACGAGCTTAATTTGATGCAAGTCTTGAATGCATCTAATGAGAATTAGTAATAATAAATTAGAATGAGAGATTTTAGTTTAAGAATAATAAACAGTAATATTTTTTGGATATTTTAGGCAAATACCGAACATTTCTATCTTATTCCATTTGGGCCTTGTTTGAATGACAATAATCTTAATCGGGAATGCTCATCTCATTCCTAAAAAAGTGATACTTGGGTTTCAAATATCGTAGGAATATTTTATTTAATGTTCGGTATTGTCAATAATTTAGTATAAGAATGAATATTTATTTCATTAATATTTTTAGTAATAAATTTTAGTTTAATGATTTTAGGAAGATAACTTAGATTTAAATTTGATTTTTTTTCTTTTTTTAAAATACCTAATTAAGTTGGGTATGATATTACCACCATTCATGGTGGGTTTAAGATTTCCACTATCATTGGAAATTTGATTCCAATAATAATCTTATTTCTGATATAAATTATAGGCTTATTAACCACCAAAACATAGTATTCTCCCCGTTCTTAAATATCTGTTGTTTAAGGTTTTTACACAAGAATTAAGGAAGTTATTAAATAGTTCTAATATAAGTAAAAAATAATTATACGAGACTAAAATATCCTTATTCAATACGTATTGAGAATGAAATGAATATGAAAGACACTTAACCTCCACCTAATCTAATGCATTGAAAAGTTAAAGGTAAATTTGAAAGAAAAAATATTAATTATGCTTTGATTTCATTAAACGACAGATATTATGGAACAAAATTTTTTTTGTAAAACAACATATATTTAAGAACGGAGTGAGTAATTCATGGGATTAGGATTGAGACTACTATCCCCAATCAAGATTATCTCCATTCAAACGGAGCCTTAGGATAAAAATTATTAATATATTTAGAACTGCAGTTGTAACCCAAAATTAGTATTTTTGCTTATGTAAACGTGCACAATGATCAATATTTATTTCGGTGCATTGTTTCGTTCACATAGGGAATCAAAATGTTTTGACTCCTTTAAAAAAATGTTGCGATATATTTTGAAAATATAATAAAAATGAATAACAAAATATCTTAAAACACATTAAAATATTTCAAAATAATTGTGTAAATGTTTAAAAATATTATGAAATACTTCGAAATATTATGAAATATCTCAAATTATTAAAATTTTGATTCCATAACTTATTTATTTCGATTTCATTGAAAATAAAAATGTTTTTGTACTGCTTTAACTATTTCAAAACTAAATATTTATAAAAAAAATGAAAAACTAGAACTAATTTCTGAATTATTTTTCATTTTGTGTTACTCTCTCTCTCTCTCTCTCTCTCTCTCTCTCTCTCTCTTTAGCTTCGCTCCCAAGTCAACCCCCGAGAAGAGCAAGTCTCCTTAAAAGAGATGGTGCTGTGGGCTTACCCACCAACGCCCAAACAACTCGCGGTGACCGTAGGTTTTGTAATCGCCGGCGTAACCTGCTTCGCCGTTGGGGCCCACCTCTCCTTCGCCAACATAGCCCCCCAACAAGCCCGCACCAAAGCCCGGGACGATTTCGTCAAAGACCGCCTCAGAAAACTTCTTGACGATTAACACACAAAAACCCACAAACACTGTGCTTCGAATCATTTTCCTTCAACCAATTTCATTAAGCAGTGATCTTCAAGCTCTTGTTTGGACCCCCCTCGGAGTTTGCTCCTTGAATATAGGTATAAACTCATGTACTTACTCCTATTACCTTTTGATTTGAGGATGTTTGTGTGTGTGTGTGTGTGTGTGTGTGTGTGTGTGTATGGTCCTGTAATGTTGCAAACGTTGTGGTCTTTTGTGGGCTTCGTATGAATAATGTGGGGATTATTGCAATTGATGTGATAATTTGTTGGGAAAATTAGAACCACAGCATGTAAAATGCTCTAAACACAAGGACACCCTTTTTTTTTTTGACACAATTGATTGTACTTCCTTATGAAACTCCCTTTTAGTTCATCTTAGTTCATAAGTTCGTTTCAGAAAGTACTATTGTTGTTAGGGGAATTACCGATAGCTCAAAGAGTTGCTGACATCAGGAAATGTTCCTTCAAGAAAACCCATATTGCTCTCTCACATATTGTCACACACTGATGTCTTTTTTTTTTTTCTTTCTTTCTTCTATTTCTTCTCTCATCCGCACATTTCCATCATCAAACCACACCCATCAACAAAGGTCTGACTTAATTAAGTTTTTGTATTCCAGTTTTGCTAACACATATATATATACATATATTTATATATATATTTCAATTTCTTAGTATGAGTAATCCATTCAATCTTTATTGTAGTCTTTTAGTTTGGAAACCTAATTTCAACAGAAGAAACAGAGACAGAATTGGAAAAGAATATAGTCTTTTTATACAGTTTAGTTCATCAATTGGAATGCTTTCTTTTATATTTCTCCAGAATAAATTGTGGCTTTGAGTGGCTTTTAAATTTTACTTTGTAAGTTTTGATGGACCCAGATCGCTCATTTGGAATTTTTTTTTCTCGGCTTAGTTTTTATGAGGCCTTTTCCGTAGAGCTTAGATTTCCAGTCACGCTTCCTATTCCTCTGTTGAATCATATTTAATCTTGAAATCAGTATTTGATTTGGCATGGGTCAAAAGAACATGGTGTGGGCGTGACATGAAATTGATATTGAAGTGGTGTGTTGGCCAGTAAGAGGTAGTGGGGAGTTTGGCCGGAGCGGGATTTGGGGGTGGAATAGGTGATGGTTTTTGGGGTAGGGGTGAGCTTTAGGTGGTGAGGGGAGTAGGGTTTCCCTGGGGGCGAGGGTTTCATGTTGGGGTTCAAGGGGGGTGGTTGGCTGCTTAGGAGTTCTATGGGTGGGTAGCTTTCAAGGTTGAGTGGTCGGCTATTGAGGATTTTTGTGGTGAGTTTCTTTCTAGGTTTTAGGATTGGGGGTAGGAGGCGGAGATGGAGGTTGAGGAAGAGGTGTGGTAATAAACACATAAAACCAATTTAGATTGATTGTGGATGCCTAAAAAACACTTGCTGTTAACACCATTTTTCATTAATTATGATTGTCTAAATATCACTTTCTGTTAATTCGCGACTGGGCAAACATTAATAGGAGCATTGGTGTGTTTTCAGAAAAGTGAAGGTTGTCCTTGTATTTAAACCCGACTACAAGGGGGTTGTTTTTGTTGTATTTTGTTCTACCTAATTCATAAAACTAAGAAAACTTTTCTACACAAACAACTATGATTTTATACCACACATCAAAGGGGGCATACCCACTAAACGTCTGTAACAAAGGAAGAAAACAAGCAAGCCTATCGCAAAAACAGAAAATGCACATAACAAAGGTCTAAGAGACACTTCCAGTATATGTAGAGTAGTGATCCAAATTTCGAAAAGAATTTCACGGATAACTACCTCTTCCCCCACTCAACCTCTTTCTGAAAGAAATGTTAGGCCTCTCTCTTGCCAACCGTTGTAAACCAGCCCTAAAATACTAAGCTTCATCACATCAATAGAACAGTTTTCCATGTTAGGGAAATTTTATAAGGCATTGCAAAGAGGGTTACAAGCTTGAGTAACCTACGAATCATCAGCATGATTAATTTGTTTAGGGCAGAATGAGTTGATCTAGTCATCATTATATGAAAGTCTTCAGTTTGCCCGACATTTTTCTGAGATAAAGTATAAATCATATTATTGGGTTGTTCCTTGTGTCTGCAGCATTAGGTCGAGTGAGTAGCTAGTATATACCATTCTTATGCTCATTGATTGACAAGAATAGGAACATTACTGCAAGTTCAAGGTGCTTTGTTTTAAATGAGATGAATCATTGATGAAAATCTTCTGTCGAATTAGTTTGTTTATAATTGTGGAGCACTAAGACAAAGAATATTCCTCATGTTGTGAAGTCTTGATCTTCTTGATTTTTGGTTGTAACATAATCTAGGTGAAATCCCACAGCCATTTTACCCTATTTGTTTTAGTTTCATCACCATCATCTTTCTGTCTGTGTGTTCTTTATCATTGTGCATTTATGTTCAATAGATGATAAGGAAAGTTTGATCTTGTGCCTTCAGATCATTTGTTTTCGTGTTGTGCTTTCATTGGATGTTTGAATGGCAGTGACCAGAGCAACTGGTCACACCCGCCATTCTGATTGAAGGGCATGACAAAATGCTGCATTGTCTGAGGCAACCCTCCTCATCAGCCACCCTGAATCTTCCTTCTTCCCCACCACCTCTGCAAGGTAGGCTTCTAAACTGGCAATTTGAATTCATTGTCTGTCTTCAACAACTTGTAACAGGTGCATAGTTTTGAATGAATGTAGCGACTTCAACAGAGAATACGCCAAGGTCAAGCACTCCACCATCTCCCTCTGTCAACCTGACTCGAGAATACACCCTTGCAGTTCAAACCAATTCCTACAGCGAAATATGGTTACAGATTCACCCCAACAACTGTTCTTACCAAGAAATAGACCTAGAGCACTTGGAGGCCCATGAAGACCAGCAGCGATTAGCACATCTCCTTCAACCAAACAGAGAGCATGTCAAAGAGGCACTTCGCTATGCCAGACCCAGCACCCTTACCCGTCTTGTTTCTGCCTACTTTGACCACAGTGAGCACACTTCCCAACTGTGCCTCCTCCTCCACCAAAGCGTTCTTCGAGCCCGCTCCGTCTATGCTCCTTTGCATGATCTACTCGACGTGCTCCCTTCAGACTCTGAATCTATGACCCAATCCCAGTGTGACCGAGCCTTTGATGTCTTCCTTCAATTTGACTGCCTTGACAACCCCTTCCCACCCCCCGACTCCCACAATTTCAATGACATGCGCTCCTGCTTCTCTGAACTCAAGCAACAGCTCAACCGTCATCTCTCCAAGTCCCACTCTAGGGTCCGCATCCTCCACCGTGGTACTACTGGCTCTGCCATTTGTTTAATTGGCACTGCCGTTGGTGTTGTCATATCTGCCATAGCCATTGCTAGTCACGCTCTTGTTGCTCTTGTTGCAGTCCCGTTGCTCCCTACATTACTACCCTCCAAGATGACCAAGAAAGAGCTGGCTCATCTGTCACAACTTGAAGCAGCTGCCAGGGGCACTTATGTCCTGCACAACGACCTAGACACCATTGATCGCCTGGTGGCTCGTCTTCATACAGCGGTTGAGGGCGACAAGCTTCTCATTCGGCTTGGTTTGGAGAGGGGAAGGGACAAGCATCCCATTCAGGAGGTAGTGAAGCAGCTTTGTAGGAACCATGACAGTTTCTTCCACCAGCTCATGGATCTTGAGGAACACTTATGCCTCTGCTTTACTGCAATCAACCGGGCCAGGTCTCTCCTCCTTCAAGAGATCCGTCTTCATGAAACTCAGAGTTCCTAAATTATTTTCTTGGATCTTTGAGTTATTTTGTTACCTGTCACTAATTCAGCACAAGGTTTTCAAAATTTTTGACTGATCCGCGGAGAAAAAACAAAAATACTATTTTGCCTATGACCTTTTAACAAGCTCCTGCCGGGATTACAATCATTATATCTATACCATTTTCTCTCTCCTGTCTCTGTAATCAATAAGGACTACAGTTCGTAGTTGCAAAAAGTGAATTGCACTGGAGCAGAACAGATACGTTTACATTTAGAGGAATCACTGTTACTTCATCCCAAGTTTGGTATTGTGAAATATTTCCTGCTAGTTGATTTGCCTCTTATCCTTGCTTGCTGATAAATTTCTTATTTCTGTTATCAATGGCATGAACAAAACTGTGAACTGCTCTCGGTATATTTTGTGAACTAAGGATGAGCAGGTATCTCCGTTAAACGGACAATTATGCATATAAATATGTTTATTTTTTTATCAAAGATCCATCCATTTGTTTGGGTTGAGACTTGAGGGGCTTTGTATTTGCCTAAAGAGTGACAGTGTGACAGCCTGAGTAACCATGGCTTGTAAGCTTTCCAAACAGGATTTTCATATACGGGGGACAACCACCCACCCCCCTCCCAACAAACCGGTCTTTTCTCTGATAAACAAAAGGAAAATGAGTTGTTAGTTCCATATCATTTTTGGACTTATTAAATGATGATCAAAATGTTTTTGATTGAATGTAAAACTATCAATCTCCCCAAAATTAGGCCATCTTAATAGAGTAAACTCCACCACGTGTGATATGACTCTTAAATTATGATACACGTGTTAATTAATTTTTTTGTCAATTGAGTTCTTGAACTCGTTAATCGTAGTAATTGACTATTTTGTTTGCATTCATTAGATTTTTTAATATAAATTCATGTGATACAAATAAGTTGTAATTTCGTTATGTAAATGACATAATCTATCATTTTTTGTTAAAAAAATTAACGAATGCAGTCAGAAAGACCTAGTTACTACAATTAGTGAGTTGAAGTGTTCAGTTGATATAAAAAATAATTAGGAACTTAATTTACACAACCATCCGTTACGCCTAATATTTTTTTTCAGAAGATGATGCCCGGGATAGAAGAAAAATGTAAAAAAAATAAATAAAATAATATGGGAATTAACCAAGTAAAAGCAAGTCAAAGTGTGAAAAAGACTTTTTTAACAACCAACCAGTTACTGACACGTGTTCTGGCTCACATGCAATTGGAGCTCTCTTTTTGAGCGCCTTGCTTTTTTGCTTTCCCTGAGATGCGTATCTCTCTGAGTACACCCAACCCAACCCAACTAGACAAAATCATATACCTGTGCAATGCAAGCTCTCATCTTTCTGTACATCGTTTTGAATCATTTCAAAAAGATCATCTCTCTCTCTCTCTCGCATTGGTCTTAGCTTTCCAAATTCCTTTCCGTTTTCAGTGTTTTCTTTCATACCCAATTACCAGAAAAATCATATCTTCTTTCATACCCTAATTAATTTGAGACCGAATCAAGCCATGAACCTGGCTGTGAGATCATAGAACACCCTTCTCAAAACCCATTTCATGAATTCAACTATACTTGCACATTTCTGTATCTAACACTGTCTGCTTGTGTTTTTGCCCAGATCACAGAGGTATAACACTAATTGTCAAGGACGTAAGCAGCAGAAAGTGAAAATGCCAAGGTCTAATCGGATGATGGAGGATCTGATCAACGGATCTTGCAAGATCCGGAAAAGGGTTTGCTCACCATCATCTTCTACATCGTCTAGACTCCAAAACTACAGATTCAAACGGGCCATTTTGGTGGGTAAGGGCCGAGGTGGAGGGTCACGATCCAGCACACCAGTACCCTCATGGAAAACTACGCCGATGAGGTCCATGGCAGAGTCTCCCAAGTACGCTGCTTCCCAGAGCGGAGGGAAGTCGAGGCCTGTGTCAGCGAGGAAGCTGGCGGCGACGTTGTGGGAAATGAATGAGGTTCCATCGCCAAGTGTGAGGAGAGAGAGTTTGGAGGAGGAAAAGAAGTTGTTGAGGAGAGAGATGAAGGCTAGAGAGAGAATGAGGTCGGTGAATTCCGGTTCACTCCCTCGCCATTTGTCTGATCCGTCTCATAGTCCTGTTTCTCAGGTTGGTTTTCATATTTTATATTTATATTTAGGTAATCTAATTTGAATAACTTTTGACTATCTGTTTGGTTATTGAGAAAGCTGTGGAAAAGAATGAGAAATGACACTTTGAATTTAATCTTTTGTATATGTTTGGACTATCTGTTTGGTTGTTTTGGAGGTGGGTGATTGTGGATTTCTTTCTTTTTTCTTCTTATAATCTTTTGCATAAATTGAATTGAGCTATCTATTTCCTTGTCTGTGTTAGGAGAGTCTTGGAAAGGGATATAACTGGTCCTTTTCATGTTTAATGTTGTTTTGATGTCTTAAATTAATTGAAGTTTAGTTGAGGTAGGGTTCTTCAATTAATGTGAGTTGTAAGTGTGGGCTAAAGCAAATTTGTTTGCTAAATGTTTGGTCGTTTGGAAGGCTGAAAAAGAAGAGAAAATGACTATCTGATTGTTAAGTTTACTGTTGTTTTGGTTGGTTCAAAGGTGTGAAATTTACCTTTATTGAGTTGGAAATTTTTCAATGGAGGTTTTGTGTTATATTATTGAGTTCCACAATCCACATGAATATTTTAAGGAGCGTACGATATTGTGTTTCTTTTGGACTTGTGTAACTACTGAGTATGATTTTCAAGTAGTCGATTCGGACTTGAATAATTGTTTTGGTTAGCATATTAGAAGAGCTGATTTCTTTTGGTCAGATTCTTATCCTTACTGTTGGTATGAGTCTTTAGAAATTAGTCAGCATGAATTCTACTTGCGATTTAGCCATTAAAAATAATCATTTTTACATTTCATGCGAAATCATCATTTCCAATTCAAGGTTAGCCAAAGCAGGTCAAAACAAACAATTCTTGCTAATCTGTTTTGTGTTCTTAAAAAAAACAAACTTTTTTCTTTACGGTTCAATAACAATGACAGTGAGTGGTGTAATGTCAATTTTTATCGCCAGTTAACCTAATTTTTAGGAAGTAAGATCTCTAATTTTAAGTTATACAAGACCTCCTTTTTTCAGGAAAATTATTCCGAAACAGTTTTCATAAACTTCTTGTGTCTTTACTTCTTTTCAACAACAATGTCAAGTGTAGCAACATCTGATGCTTCCAAGTATTGAAAATTTTGTGCTTGTCCTGCTTTAGAGTTGTTTGTACACGTGTGCTTATGGAGTCTAATTCTCGATCATATGGTTATAATTCTAAAAACTAAGATTCCTTCTATTGGATTTGCAGAGAATGGATCGGTCTGAAACAGGTAGTCGCCACAGGAGGACATCCTCAATTTCTCAGAAGCTTAGGCTTGCAGACCACAATGTTAGAGTTTTGGATTCTCTTAGTAGTACCAGTTTAATGGAGGTCACTGCAAATCTCTTATCTTTTTCTTAGATGGTGTACTAACTTTGAAATTTAGTTGATCTTTTTGTCATTCATTCTTTCATATTCTCTGACTTTGGAGTAATTTTTGTGATCTCTCTCTACAATAGTTATCTCAGCTTCTGATTATTATTGTACAATTTTGATCTCAAATTTTTAATATTGTCAAATGATTTTAAAATGTTTATTCTCATATGATCAAAGAATGATCTAGGGTTGCTTGTGTGTTTAATGTGTCTTTTGTGGTGCAGATTGAGACTAGATCTCGAGCCCAGACTCCTAGTGGATCCATGGTGGGTGGTAGAAACCGTCTAAAGGATGTTAGTAATGCTTTGACCACGTCTAAAGAGCTATTGAAAATTATCAACCGTGTTTGGGCTCATGCTGATCAGCCTTCATCAAGCATGTCTCTTGTCTCGGCCTTGCATGCTGAGCTTGAGGGGGCTCGCCTGCTGGTCAACCAGCTTATCCAAGAACAACGTTCAGATCAACAAGAGATCAATTATCTTATGAAGTGTTTTGCTGAAGAGAAGGCAACATGGAAAAATAAAGAGCAACAAGCAGTTGAAGCTGCTGTTGAGACCATTGCTGGTGAACTTGAGGTGGAGCGGAAGTTGAGGGGCCGTTTTGAGAGCTTAAACAAGAAACTTGGGAAGGAATTAGCAGACACAAAAGCATCTTTCATGAAAGCAGTGAAAGAACTTGAGAGCGAGAAGAGGGCAAGAGAAATAATGGAACAGGTGTGTGACGAATTAGCTAGGGATATTGGCATAGATAGAGCTGAAATGGAAGAGCAGAAGAGGGAGTCTGCAAAAGTTCATGAAGAGGTTGAGAAGGAAAGGGAGATGCTTCAATTAGCTGACATGTTGCGTGAGGAGCGAGTTCAGATGAAACTCTCGGAGGCTAAACATGAGTTTGAGGAGAAAAATGTGGCCATTGACAAGCTGAGGAAGCAACTTGGAGCTTTCCTGGGGACCAAGAAAGGTAAAGAAAAGGGATGCGGTTCTCAAAAATTTGGGAATGATGATGAGATTGCAGCCTACCTGAGTAAAACTCGCTTTGGCTCTCATCAGAATGAAGAAAAAGAAGATGATGGAGAAGTGGAGGATGTTGTAGACTGTGAAGAAGACTCGGCTGAAAGTGATCTTCATTCTATAGAATTGAACATGGACAACAATAATAAGAGTTACAAATGGGCTTACCCATCTGCCATTGGACGTGATTCTAGTAGAGTTTCAATTGGCAATGAAATGAAAGGGAGGAATTCTACCCCAGAAAAAGTACACAGGAAGAGCACTTATCTGCAAAGGAGCATTTCAGATGGAATTGAATGGGCTGCCCAAATTGGTGGCTTTCAGAGCTTGAGAGATGGTTTAGACCGGGAGAGAGTCCATGAATATGAGAAGCAGGCTCAAAGAAAAAGCTACGGGGATGAAATGCAGAGATACAAATCCGTGAAGGGTAGCAGGGACCATATATTACCTAGTTCTAGATTAGGGTCATCCAAAGACACCGCAAGTCCAAAGCGGCAAGGAGGGCCATGGTCTTCACTAGATCCTGGCAGTACATTTCAGGAGAGACCTGCTACGGCGCAGAGCACTGGTTTGAAGTCAAGGCTGGGGGAAGCCAGAGTGGAAGGGCAGCATGCNATGATGATGAGATTGCAGCCTACCTGAGTAAAACTCGCTTTGGCTCTCATCAGAATGAAGAAAAAGAAGATGATGGAGAAGTGGAGGATGTTGTAGACTGTGAAGAAGACTCGGCTGAAAGTGATCTTCATTCTATAGAATTGAACATGGACAACAATAATAAGAGTTACAAATGGGCTTACCCATCTGCCATTGGACGTGATTCTAGTAGAGTTTCAATTGGCAATGAAATGAAAGGGAGGAATTCTACCCCAGAAAAAGTACACAGGAAGAGCACTTATCTGCAAAGGAGCATTTCAGATGGAATTGAATGGGCTGCCCAAATTGGTGGCTTTCAGAGCTTGAGAGATGGTTTAGACCGGGAGAGAGTCCATGAATATGAGAAGCAGGCTCAAAGAAAAAGCTACGGGGATGAAATGCAGAGATACAAATCCGTGAAGGGTAGCAGGGACCATATATTACCTAGTTCTAGATTAGGGTCATCCAAAGACACCGCAAGTCCAAAGCGGCAAGGAGGGCCATGGTCTTCACTAGATCCTGGCAGTACATTTCAGGGGAGACCTGCTACGGCGCAGAGCACTGGTTTGAAGTCAAGGCTGGGGGAAGCCAGAGTGGAAGGGCAGCATGGAAGAAGATCAAAACGGTGAATTGTCTCGTCTTCTTGACTAACAGATTGTCTGGATCCACGAGAGTTGCCAAACTCACCGTTGGATACAGAATGTCGGGAGTAGTTTGTCAAACCTCACTGATGGAATTCCGTGGCTAAGATGAGTATCCAAAGAGATGAAAGCATTAAGAAAGTAGTAAGTTAACCTCTCGTTGATATTTTGCTTTGAATGAGATTACTTCTAATGCCTCTAGTTAAAGCAGGTTGTTGCTAAATTTACCTGGAAAGTGTTTTGAATGGTTTAAGTGATGTGTAAGTTGTCAAAATTTTTGTATGAAGTTGTGCTAATCCTGTACAAAAACTTCTGGTGTAATTTATAGTTGTTACAAATTCAAAGGGCGTTGCAGTTTTACTTGCTTATATTTTACTTCTCCTTTTAAAGGTAAATACGCCTACATTCATCACCTTGTTTAGAAGGACTACTTGAATTGAGAATTAGTCCAAGAGGGTGTGGTTTATAAACAAAAATCAATAGAATTGGTGGGAATATACAACATTGATTTAAGGATAGAGCATAAGTTTAACAGAGAGCTCAATGACAGAATAAGATTCATATAAGCCGATTTCAAAGAGTTAAGATGAGGAACACAAATTGGTGATGAAGGGTTGCATTGTAGATCTTGTTTGTCATATGAAACTAGGATTTTTACCCTATACATACGAGTCACGCAGATTCATGTTTTCCCTCATTAATGTTCCCTTCGCCTCCACATTTTAGAAATGTTTTAGAAACATATCGGAAATCATAATGGGAAAAAAAAAACTAGAGTTTCCTGAAACATTCCAAAAAATAAGGAATTTCGGTATTCAATCACATTTTTGTTTCAGTTTCCACCGAAACAGTAATGTTTTGGCCCTTTTTTTTTCTTTGAAACAAAACAAAGTTTTGAACCTTTTGATATTATTCAAGATTTCACTTGCATGCATGGCATATGAAATAAAAGATAGTATGCGGTGAACAAAGTTTTCATCTATAACAATATCGTGGTAAGTGTTAGCGCATCTCTAATTTTTACTCAAAATTTTAAATAGACTAAAAACAAGTTCTAATTTTTGATTCAAATTTATATCGAATGAAGGGAAACTCAAGTTTTTACTTAAATTAAGGGAGATTCAAATCTTTAATGTTTAGATTTTACTCTTTCAAAAGATTCAATGACCACATGCCCGCCCAACCTATAAGTCACAAAAGTCATTGCCTAGGGCCCCCAAATTGGAAAAAAATTTTGGGGCCCAAAATAAAATTTTATACAATGGTATGTGATGAGGTCTCGGAAGTTATGGCCCAAGTCCGGTTGTGGACAGGGAGTTGATGAGTTCTATTAGGTGGTGAGAACTGAAGGATAACCTAGTCGGTTGAAAGAGGCATAAGAGTTAAGTGGTTCACCCTAGCCGGCGGACTGAGGTTTCATCCACTGCAATGGAGTCTCTTGTTCCTTGAGCCTGTATATTGATTCTTTTCTGAAGTAAGTAGTCTTATAGGCGCTGGGCCATTACAGGAAGTTATATTCTAACTCATGCATTCTTGGGTGTTCGAACGCCCCGGAGGGGTTCCCATCATCTTATCTTATCTGCTTGTTGATTCTATGGGGACCTTCCGTCCTTGCCCTGCCAGTAAAACCCTGTCAGCCGACGTTACTGTACCCACTGTGCCTGGGTCGTTACGCACCACCACTCCCTGCAGATGGGTGTGACTGCCATAAGTTTCAGAGATGGTCCCCTTGTTCTTTTGGGACGCTTGGTGTGGTGGAATGCATCTATGGTTAGGGTTTGACTTCTCCCTCTCTGGCTATCTTTCGGCTAAGGCTGGAGCGTCGGTCCTTTTGGGCTTTGCTTCTTGATACGGGCTGGCTAGGTATGCTTCTCTTGGGCCAACAGGCGAAGCAGAATGCTTTGGGCTCCATGGCCATGGCGGCCCATACTTAAAAATCCTGTCCTAATCAGTTGTCCCCCCAGCCCCTAGTCACGATGATGACGTCATCTCTGACCTGGGGGGTTAGAAAATGTTGAATCCGACTCTATTTCTTTATGCAGTGAAACTATCTGGTGACCGGGTCTGACCCGATTTTGGGTTGGGTCGATGTCTGCCGGTTATGGTGGTACACGTGTTGCCAGCGGATGAGCCTGATGGGACGATTTCCTTGGCGTGTCCTGTCATCAGTCTCATCACAGCTTAAATGTTGTGTATAAGGGAAAATCTTTTTTGCTTTTTCAAGTTTCGTGCCCTTTGAAATTCTCTCTTGTGTCTTCTTCCTTCCTTTCGATTTCCGAGGCGTCTCGTTCCAGGCCTCTTGGCGACTTAGAGCATCTTCATCTCCGGTTCTCTTCTGTTTCTAGCGCTTCACTAGGTACGTCTTCTCTTCCTTTTCTTTACTCCTTCGACCTGGATCCATTCAACCCTCCTTGGTGGGGCTTTGGCTTTTGTTTCTTGATCTGGAGGTTTAACTACTTTGGAGAACATTCTGATGTCCTTTCTTCCTTATCGTGGTTTGTAGATCACCTTTCCGTGTCAAGGGTACTCTTCTTTAGAGCTTGGTGTCTAAAACCTCTGTTTTTAACAGATTGCTCCTTGCATTTGCCCTCTCTTCATTCCGGCTTGCAATCTGAACTTTTGATGGGGAAATTCGTTGTTTCTTTTGAGTCGAAATTTGTTGACGAGGAAACCGAGGGGGCCTTAACGGCTTCTTCTAGCAGTCGTTCCTCTTCTGCTGACAATGAGGCTTTGGGGTCCGTCCTAGGAGTTTCATCTTCAGCGCCTACTGTACATACCGATCCTCTCTCCACTTTGCCTCCCGATCCTCGCGCTCAGTCGAGGAAGAGGGAGTCTAGGACTGCACTACCCTCTATTCCTAGGAAAAGGACTCGACGTGACCTGTCCGACCTATCCTGTTATGGGGAGGATACCTCCAGCTGCCTTGATGAGGAAGACCTGGAGGATCTGAGGCGGGAGTACCGCTTCCCTGATTCTATATCTTTGTACTCCCCCAAGAAGCACGAAAGGTATAATTCCTATATCTCGGGCTTCATCAGAGGTCTTTCCCTTCATGAGGACTTCTAGAAAAAAAAATTCATTGATTTTCGCGAATGGGTTTTTACAATAGCCCTTCTTGTTATTATGATGACTTTAGGGGGTGTTACTGATAGTAACGCTTCAGGTGATCTGCATTCCATGAGTGTTGTAAGTCCCACCCTTCCTCTGTCTGTAACTCGTAGTTCCCAGGTCGGACAACCCTTTTTACAACGTAAAGCCCTTTCTAGTTGGGGCTGAGCTTGCCATAGGCTGGATATTTCTGTGCCAGGAGTAACTTTTTTAATACCAAGTCGCCCGGTTTGAAACTTCTTCTTTTCTCCCGCCTGTTGTAAAACCTAGTCGTGTTTCTCTGATAGGAAAATATCCGCTACAGTGCCTCGCCTTTCTTTTCATCGAGGAGATCAAGGTTTACTAGTAGGGACCTCTCATTCTGTTCCGGGTTGAACAGCTCGGCTCACGCGGAGAGTACACCCACCTCGACTGGGGCCATCGCCTCGGTCCCATATGCCAACCTGAAAGGAGTCTCGCCGGTCGCGGTACGTGCGATTGTTCGATATGCCTATAGTACTACTGGGAGGTGGTCCACCCGTTGAGACTTAGAGGCCTCCAATCTGGTTTTGAGCGCCAGCTTAATGGTTTTGATAGTCACCTTGGCTTGTCCATTGGACTGGGGGTGGGCAGGAGCCGAGAAATAGTTCTTGATCCCTAGCGTGGTGCAGAAACCAATGAACACCGGATTATCAAACTGTTTTCCATTGTCTGAAACTAATGCCCTAGGGACTTCGAAACGGCAGATTAGAGAGTTCCAGATGAAGTTCTTGACTTTCTGTGCCATGATCTTGGCCAGAGGTTCGGCTTCAGTCCACTTTGTAAAATAATCTACTGTAACTATCACAAATTTGCATTGTCTGACCCTGACTAGTAAGGGTCCCAGGATGTCTAAACCCCATTGTTGGAAGGGCCAGGGGTTAAAAACTCCGGCGGGCAGTGCGACAAGTTACCATGCACCTGGTAGGCTTGGCATTTCTTTACTACCTCCTTGGAGTCTTTACTCACAGTCGCCCAGAAGTAACCTTGCCGTAGGGCCTTACTTGCCAGGATCCTCGCACCGACATGGTTTCCGCACATGCCTTCGTGAATTTCTCTTAGAATGTAGCTTGCCTCTCTTCCTGTCACACATTTCATTAATGGAAAGGAAAAAACCCTTTTATAGAGATTACCTTGAATTATCTTGAATCTTGCTGCTTTGGCCCTTAGTTTTGATGCTTATTTTGGATCGTTCGGCAGCACTCCGTCTTGTAGAAAGGATACGATGGGGTCCATCCACGAAGTTCCTTCTTCAATTGGCATGGCTTGGTTTTCAACTGTTTGCTCTTCGTCGAGCCGTACGCTGGGCTCGGCGAGGACTTTGACGGGCACCCCCCTAGCATGTCTCGGTTTTTAGTGGTGGCTAGCTTGGCCAGGGCATTAGCTCGAGCATTGGCTTCTCGCGGTATCTAGACCAGCTCGGTCACCACAAATTTCTTCAGCAAACTGCACACTTTTATCATGTAGAGTACCATCTTCTCGTCTCTGGCAGCGTATTCCTCTTCGACCTGCTTGACTACTAGCTGCGAGTCGCTATGGATCACTATCCGTTGCGCTTCCATTGATAAGGCAAGGTTTAGGTCGGCGATGAGTGACTCGTACTCAGCTTCGTTATTAGACGCTTGAAAGTCAAACCTTAGAGCATACTCCAGGTCGTATCCCTCAGGTGATGTCAGGATGAGACCTGTTTTGCTACCCTGGGCGTTTGATGCTCCGTCGACGTACAATCTCCAGGTCGAAACGTCGGGGACATAGTCTCGGCCTTCTTCATTTTCTTCCAGGGGAGAGGTGGACTCAGTGAAGAAATCTGCTAAGACTTGTCCCTTGATAGCAGTCCTAGGCTTGAACTTGATGTCGAATTC